TTGCATCATGGAAATTGAGCTGATACAAAAACCCTTGTAGGATCTTAGGATTGCATAGGATGGCATAGGCACCTTTTCTACCACCAAAGGTATCGAAAGAGGAACATGCTCGACGTTTTTTCTGCGCCACGTGGCGTTCTCCCCGTGAGAGGCTTCGAAGACTTGAGTACCGTCCTGCCAAGAGCCGCCAGGAAAACACATGAAAACCCCTACCTACCCAAAGAATCTAATTGTGCTAATTAACGCTAATGAGTTATATCAATCATTGCAGGCCCTCAAGTTCATTTTGCAATGGGCCCATTCAGCATCCGAGAAACGGAGATCTATGATCCTCTGTTTTGGTCATTGAAAAAACGGTCATTGCAATTTGGTAGTTGGAAGGTCCAGGCAGTGGGAAAAGACAACTGAAGCTCTCCCACACACGGCTGAATACTGACTGGACTATATGCCGATCAATTGACCCCTTGAAACCCTACCAGGACCATCCTGGCCAGGCTGTTTTGGGACACCGGTCGTTGGTGGTTTCTGGGCACCGGACTTGCCACCAGGAAACACCTGTGAAGTCGGGTGCTGGTATAGGTATATAAATGGCAGTGGGTCCAATCCCGGGGGCCCTGCTTGACCGTTGCAACGAACAGAATCGACTGCTATCCACATGAAGCAACGGGGCCGCGCAAAAAAGACACCTGTTCCAGCAGTCACAAAGGGGTGCCTATTGGAGGATTATCCACTCACTTAGGGACTGGAAACCACCCCTTTGTGACTCCTGGTTGGACAGCCAGTCTGTGACTTCACAATCTCCGCGAGAGAACAACGTTATTTGACAACTACCAGGACCTTCCAACAGGTGGTTTTGGGCAACCTCTTAACCTCTAAGAGGCTGTTTATAGACACCTCTTGGAAGGTCCTGGTATATATAATAGCCGTTAACGCGCGTTCCTAGCCGTGCGGCCATAGCAAACCGATGGGTTGTCCAAAAGCAGATTGGGAGTGTAACATACAAGTCACCGTGAAATATCAAGCAACCAATCCAGGAACCCTTAGGGAACCAAGTACCTTCTCAGAAGGTACCCTCCAAACCTACGCTAACAGTGTTTCCAATCACCGTACCTGAGAAGGTACGACTGGATCCCTGCAGGAGCATGCACATTTGCCCTTTCTCCGCCGCTCATCCACCCCCGGACTTTTTCTCTCTCCCTCGGTCCTTGCCAGCTAGGTCGGTGATCAACTTGCTGCCGCCCACATGCCCCATCGCCTTGGCTGTCAAATGAACAAACATGTGGGAAACGTGATTACCGCGTTCATGTTTGGCAAACGTTTTGAAACCCAAACTGCATCATAGTCCTTATGTTGGTGATACCAAGAAAACAAAAGAAACACAAAGATTCCTACAATGTCATTCCCCAAAATTTTTAGCTTCCCCTTGTCCAATGCCAAGTACTGAGCTTTTTTCATGTGTTTAACCAGGTCTTGGGATCACCAAAAGCGGTGTCCAAGCGAACCATTGAACACCCGGACGAACCCATATTCGTACCCTGCCACACGTCCCACTTCCAAAATATGTGTTGAAAAGGCCTTCCCACAAAACTGAATTAATCTATATTCTTTATGCAAGCTCTTTGCGGTAACATGATCATTGCAAGTTTCAAGATGACCCATTTAGATCCATTTGGGTTATAATTAAGACCCCCAACCAATGGGTTTGGGTCTCTCTCCCTTCGAAGTCGAGCTGGGAGGTCTCCGGTGTGCTGAGCTTCTACACACACACACACACCCACCCATGAAAGTCGACCCTCACTGCTCATGAAAGCTCCGTTGACACCCTCCACCCTCCTATCACCCTCCTATCACCCTCCTCCCTCCCCTTCCTCACATTCCGTCACGAGACGAACTTCGTGAGGTCATAGACCCGGCCGTGCAGTACCACCCAGCAGTCCTCCGGAGAGCTATGGAGGGCCACCTCACGTGGGCCACGCGACGAGTCGCGCGACTCGTCGAGTCCATCGAGTCAAGTCGAGTCGAGTCGAAGCTCGGCATCGATTTCACCCTGGAGCTCCAACCATATCTGAAGGTGGGCACAGACCCCCTGGCACCCACCCCTGGCCCACCTAGGAGCCCAAGCGGGTCAGACGAGTCGACTATAATAGTTTGGATGTGTGTTTGGGTCGAAGCGCCCATCGAACCGGGATCCCAATAAAACTGGGCCCCCAACAATCGTGGAGGCCTCTTGGTAGAGGAGAATCGTTCTAACTTGGGTCAACTATTACCCAGACGCGACTAATGGGACTGGCATGTTTGCCGACATATGGTGGTTTGTGGGATCACTGTAGGCGGCATATGCATTCCAGTCCCATGGATGGTCTGGGTATTTTTTCTGGTATTCTTTTTTGCTGGCCTTCTAACTTCCGCTTAAAACAACGGCTTTCCCGGCACATTCACAAACCAATTGGTGCGCGTCTGACCTGCGACCAATGCTTTACTGGTCTTTGCAGCTGCGCATTGCTCTACAGGTCAACCATTCCTTTAAAAAGGAAAGGCCTCCGGGTGGATGGGAAAAGACATGACGAGATGCACCTCCTCCATGGAGAAGACCTTCTCCTCGCTTTGGACGACGATGTAGTCTCCGAAGTCGCCCATCTCCTCTTGCCCGTGCGTGGCGCGTGCGAACAACAAGGGCAGCTCCATGAGCACACTGAGACGGGAATGCAATTGGCTGTAATCACGGGAAGGCCATTGGATTCAATATGATATTATGATTCTGATCCACCAGCTGTTCTAGTTCACAAGACATTAGTTTGCACAAAACTCTGGAATGTACTGCAGGGAACCTTGACCTTAGGGGTATGGCACATCACAAGCATGCAAACATCAATGCGGCTACTGTTCTGACACATCTAGGGACGTCGGACGTGCAACCATCCATCCTAGGCGCCTGAGGAGGCCTCCGTACATGATCTAATGTGAGTGTTTGTTGGCGGTCTCCACTTCCTTATAGCACCAAAACGCCTCCAATCCATCACCCAGGTACTGAAAAGCGGAACAAGTCCTGATCTTTCACCTGGAGACCCATCAGGCTGGTTTGATCTCCACGCGATGAAACGCCACTCCGTTTCAATCAGCAACCCAAGAAACACTCTAAACTAACATCTTTTTGCTTCTTCTGTTTGGTGCTGGTCTGACCGGTCTTGGCGACATCCTGGCACGAACAGTGTGGGTTCGGTCCGCCACCCGTCGACCAGTCGACCCGCTCCGCCAGCGCGTAGGCCATCTGATCGTCCATGGTCAACGCTCGCCCCGCGGCGCACGGCGCACGAGCGCGGAGCAACGGGGCGCTGAGAGTGGCTGCGCGGATGAAAAGCACACAACGAAGGCGCATGAGAGGTTCTTATCCTATGAGCTGTTCCAGGCAACTGGACTTTTTGGAAAGGCTTAGAAATCCAGGTTCCTGCGAAATAAACCAAACATGACCGGAATACAAGGGGAGTGGCATAAAGACGTCTTCCATATCCCGCGAAAATCTGCAGAATGGCCAGCACATCCTTGGACTCTCCGTGACAAGGTGTCACAGAGACGCTGTTTGGTTGTCAACCAAGTGTTGATCCATTTGTTCAGTGAACTTTTGGAGTCGTCAAGAAATCTTACAGTCTCTACGCCTTTTTAATCTTCTAGATACCTCAGGTCGCACAGCTGGGGCGAAAGGAATTGAGTCACCCAAACCATCCATGGGACTGGAATCGCTTCTTACATTAATCATGGGGCCATGGGGTAGAAAGAATATGAGGACCTAGATTATATATCCCAAACACAAGCTAGATTACATGACCCCCAAAACCACCCCAATGTATATAGGTATATATATTTATATATACCAGTCCCATGGAGTGTCTGGGTATGATAACTCTTCGATGATCATGGATGATCCTTTTCCCAGCTCAGCCACCTCCACACCGACCTGCACGACACTCGCCTTTCTTCGACCTACCCGCACGACACGAACGCTTCGCCATCGGCTCCGGGTGCGTTTCGCCCGGTGTGAAACCAAGGATCCCCGCGGTGGTTTCAGATGTTTGAGCGGCGCAGTGCCACACCCATCGGGCGGGGGCGGGAAAAAAAGGAAGCTTCAAGAGTGAAAGATTTGGATTGAGTAATGAATCTTTATTCTCTTCTCACGTGAGATTGATGTTCATAGAGGCCACAAGATTTGAAGGTTCATGGTTTTCATGTCAAGACAATGTAAAACTGCATCAATGAATCACCCCGTTTGAGAGTTCCTCCAAGAGCGATGGCCTCCACCCTAGTAGCGATGACCGAGATGGCTGCCAGTGTCACAAATGGACAAAGAATGACAAAGATAGTAAACATCTTCCTTTGAGCTTCCCCTAAGAATTCCTATCTCACTGAGCAGTCAGCCACTTTGGGCCGCACACAGCGGGAGCTCCGTTTCAGGCAGGCAGTAAGCACTCTGAGAAGAGTTTTTTGGTGTATGAATTCTTGGCACATCTATGGTTAGTGTGACGTAGGCTGACAAGGAGGATGCTTCTTATGGACCAGTCAAGAACCCGTGTGCTTCTCATCTTGTTGGATGAAAACATCTGCGAAAACCGCTTGAAAATCATTCGAACCTTTCCGGTTTGTTGGACACCAACGGACACTTAAGATATCTTAAGGGTCTTTTGCATGGCTTTAAATGGCCACATCATCGACCAATTGGCTGGTGCTTTGCGGGTAATCTAAATCCTATCAGCCAACAACATCCTGAAATTTTAGGCTTCCTGCTCTTCCTTTGCTGCGGAAATGACTGCTAAAATGATACGATCGATGACCAACGGAGCTTGATCCATCTGAATATTAACGCAAATTAAGAATACTTGCGCAAGAATCTAACAACATTCAATCACATCAACTGTGACTTGTGACATGTTAACAATATCTCACATGAGTTTAAAGCTGACCTGGGCCATCCTTGGTCCCCATGAAGTCCAAACGTGCACGAACATAGCTGCTACTCTCACGAGCGTATGACTTTTGAGGACCATATGACGACTGCCCGTCTGACAGGGACCCCTTCACCACTTCCAGCTGAAAGCAGAAGAGCGTGCTCTTTCGATCGACCCTGGCAGGGGTTCCGCCGGATGTCGACCCGGGTTGTGGGGTGCGACGCGACGAGAGGGAATGAGGATGGCTGAGGGTGCGAGGTTTCCAAAGGAATCTAGATTGGAGGCGAGGCTTAGCTTGCCTCATTCCTTACTATTATAGTTATATATATAGTATATATATATATACCTAAGGGATCCTCGTGTGCGGAATTTAAGTCGCTTTGTGAAATCAAAGTTTTTTTGGTCGTCTACTAGAAGTTTCGCCGTTTGCTCCAAAAGTTGCCGCCTCAATGTGTGTGTCTTCTTTTCTCTCCACCAAATGACTAGCGTCCAGCATTCCCCGAGCAACAAAGGTGCAATTGAGATCACCCATAGTTGAAACAATAACTGAACACAATTGAATACACAAGGTTTAAAACCTCTGAAATTCTCGGACATGACCCAGCCTCAACAGCAACAACACATCTCAACATCAGCACCTTTGTCTAATCCCCAAAGTGTCTTTTCAAGAGCACGTGTGCCTTGATGAGGTAAAATTCAAGAGATCTTGTGGTAACAATACGGCCGTCTATTCTGCGACTGAGTCGGCTCATCCTTCCAATGAGATCTTCATTTTGGCAACAGTCCCAGTGTATGGGACTACATATCAACTCGGCATTTGTATTCAATTGCATCTTCAACTCATGCAATGTATGAAGCTGGAAATGGAATTTCGGCACCAATGCATACAAGCACTGCCGAGTTGCCCAGGCATGGGCTGACAACTTTGCATAACCTTTTGTGAAGGCCAAGCCAACTTCGTACAAGCAGGAAGCACAGGGCCGCGAAAGCCAAAGCCCGTGATTAAACACAATATCAAACCATCTGATGCCCAATCGAGCTAAAGATAGTATGATCTGCAAAGCTTCAGCCTGCTGTTGATCCAAAGGACGGTCATTTCCATTCAGCACTGCGATGCTCAATGAAATCATCCAACGCATACAAAGCATAGTGTCGCTTGCTTTGCAATTGATCCATGGATAGGATTGTTTGGTCTGATAGTTGAACAAAGCAGGACTGAAGCTCCTAAGAGCTGCGTTTCTGCAGCTTGTCAATTGCCACATTTTGAAATGCCCCCATGCACCATTCAGCTTCTCCGCCACAGTTCCCTGCCTTCCGAAGAAACCCAATCTCAGAACCAGCATTATAGAACTGGCTAAGAAACGCCTGAACAACCCCAACTTCAAGCAATGAAATCCATCCATCTTCAGCAAAAATTCTGGTTTCTGGTTGTCAAACGGAATGCTGAGAAATGCAGAAGGATCGTGCGCATGCCAGGGCCGATCTGCAAACAGTGAAGTGCTCCATGCCGGATTAGCAGTTTGCTCTTCTGCTGGTTCTCCAGGCTTTCCGGCATGGCACCAATGACATTGGCAAACATCTCGGGTCGTGCTTTTGTGCTCGAATCCCCGGCACAGGCGACCAACTTTGGAATGCCATTTCAAATCGCCTTTGGCGCCAGTGACAGCAATTCTCCAGGTATGCCCTCTGAATTGGAAGCCCGTGTGGAACAGGTCGGCTAGCTGGTCCGCAAATGCAACCAACATCTCATGAACCAGTCGAGCAAGCACCTTTTTGTCCATGGTCCCTGGCAACATGAAGGACGGAAAGTGCTGCAAGAACGAATGGGATTTCATGTTGGATGTCAGGCTTTTGGCTTTCCTGGTCCCAGCACTGTCATGACAGGAAAACCAATTGGTAGCTGGCATACAACTTCTGCAAACAGAGGTGTGGCCCTTTACACCAAGAACTGCTTCCCAAGAAACAACGGTTGTGTTGGACCTGCGTTTTCCACGTCCTTCATCACCATGGACTGCTATAGGCAACACTCTTTGGAGTTGGCTTGTGTCTGGGCACATGGAAAATATCTCGTGGCCAGGGTGGAACCCTCTATACGCTTTCCAGTAAGCTGCACAGCGGTGTTGTCCATCTTCGATTGAAGGAGTGCCAAATAGTACCCGAGGATATTTCTCAACTAAATATTCAATCATTCTCCGAGGATGCAGAAAACCAATCCTCAAGATTTCACCATCCTCGCACGTGTGCTCATGCACATCTACTGGGACCTTCCACGCAATCCCCATCCGACGGACTGCTCGCAATGCATCCCTCGATTGATTGTGGACTTTCTTTTTCTGCGAGATGGGCAGACCAGCGTCGGCCTCAGCACCAGGCTGAAGCCTTTGACATACTGTCGCAGGTACCTTAATGCTGGCAAGAGTGGTTGAGAGCTGGAAGGAGGACCGGGAAAACTACAATGCCACAAAAAAAGGGTCTAACAAAAACCAAGGCAAAGCAAGGCAACTCCATCTGCTAATGCCTCAGCAAAGCCTTCAACCAAAGGCCTCTTGCGTGATATTGGTGGGACATCATCACCTGGCTGACTAATCTGGAGCATAGAAGTTGCAGGAACATGGATTGCTCTAAACTCTTTGTAGAAGTGCCACATCTACTCACTACAGTGCCAAACATCCAACTTTTTTAAATTGACATCGGGGATCAGCGGTGGAATCTTCCAAATGCAGCTGCTCTGAAAAAAGCAGTAGACATCACATCACAGAGATGCCAAAAATGGATCTCTGCATCACACTGGGAATAAACAGCGAATTAGGACGCCTTCTGACGTTTGGGCTCTGGCTCAGAAGCATCGGCTTTTTGGGCCTTGCCTTTAGCTTTGGCCTTGGCCTTTGCTGCCCGAACACTGGACCTTTTAGGCTGAGTTTTGGCCTTGGGGACTTTGCAATCCTTCGGCATCACTTGCCTGGGAGATGCAGAGCTCAGAACAGAAAACCATCCACTAGTCAAGATCCTTTCCAGACTGCAATCGTTTCTAAGGTCGTGTCCTCATGCGAGACTCAAGGCTTAAAGCTTCCACGGCCCTGGGTCCAAAAACGTGATTCAATTTGTTGGCGATAGGTACCAGGTAGCCCAACCACAAATTAACCGAATTAGCTTTGAGGCCCACACGCTGTCTTGGCATCTTTGAAGATAGAATCAAGCTGTTCTTCCGACCTGATGTTTTTCAATACAAAATCGAATCTGACATCGCTTCCCAAAATCTAGGCTTGGTACTGTTTGGTGAATCCTTCCACAACTCCGTTTGTGTAGATATCTTCGATTGACTTTTCCTTGCTCTTCAAGGTCCCGATAACATCATGAAGTTTCTGCATCATCCTCAGATGTCACAGTTTTAGCTATACAATGAGCAGCAGTTGCACAGACAATTTCCTATCAAACAAAAAACAACACACTCGCAAGTCTCCGGTCTTGCAAATCTGACAGCTTCTTGGCCGCTTTGAAGTGGTCAAGGCCCAACTGAAGCTGCTTCTGACGTTTGCCCAAGCACATCCTCATTCTCAACAAAAATGAAAGAAAGCCACCTCTACGCAAATAAGCTCGACATATTGAATACATAGGTATGCTGCGCTCCTTCAATAATAGGGTCAGGAGTCATCATTTTGTTTGCAATAGTACTGGGTAAAGCATCTAAATCAAGCTCTGGAATGCCTGCCCGCTTCCGGAACTTGGCCGCAGCTTCAGCTGCGTTTTGCCTCTCGTCATCGCCAGAGCTGAGGTACACATCACCATCTTCCATCCCGCCCACCTCTTCACCTGTGGAAAAGAGCACCAACAAGCACAATGTGATAAAAGACTCTATCCACAAGAGCTGACTTGACAAAACAGGAATACGCGTTCTTTACATTTGTAGTTTGTTCTATCTGACCTTGGTTTGGCTTGGAAGCTGCTCTGTTTTGCTTTTCGCCCCCCCTCTGAACCCAGTTCAGACGGGGCAGGAACAGAAGACTGCTGGGGAGGGCCCCCAAGGGCCGACGGGGCAGCAAAAGCAGAAAGGTCCTGTCCCTCTTCTCCATCTTCCTGCCATTGCATACGGCGCCGTTGAGACACTTTGCTGCTGCGCCTAAGCTGGCAAGGAATGCTTCACTCATTCTGAGGTCTGAAGACCCTTGAGGCACTATCAAACCCACCAACAAACCCACAAAAAACTAAACCAACAGGATCAGTCGAGTAGCAATCTGCTAGCCTTGACGGCCGTCTCAGCCCAGTACAACATGACCTTCTCGTAGCGGTCCCATCTGAAGGCCAGGAAACAAGAACAGCATACAGTTTAATTACTGTACATCCCGTAATCACAGGGTGAGGAAAAGAATGTGGCCTCATGAGCCTTTTGGGGTCTTCATTGGCCGCCTTCTTGACCGCAGCAACTCGCGGCCTAAGACAATGGATGAAAAGTGTGCACCATGTTTGAAGCCATGATTGGCTCTACACTGACATTTTGCAATTACGCCAAAAAACTCTGACCATGACCACTCTTCAAACATCGCCCGCTCCGACAAGTATTGTCCTTCTATCACCAAGTTGTCCTCCAATGAGTCTTCCCGTAGAATCGCACATTCTTGCACGAAGCTGTCCTAGTGGAAATTGAGAGGGAAACAGATCCGCTTCTGTGAGAATCACCCTTCCAACAACAATTTGTTCAATCAAACGTAACTACCAAACAGAGCTGTCAAAGCAACACCAACACTATTGTGCGACAATAGAACCCAGTCCGGACAATATCCGCAACTCTGGAATAGCTTGTAGATCTTGTCTCGCCCCAATCCCTTGGAATGCCACATCTTAGAGATTGCATCCGATACTTTCAATTCCCCATTCCTCTTGGAAGGTGTGAACACCCGCTTCAGTCGGCTATAGATAGCTGCCTCAGTGATTCTCAGGGTACCTGCCACTGGACTCTCAGCCAAGCGATCAGAAGCGTCGGGAACATCTTCAGGTTTGATCTCCTTTTCAATGAACTGGCGCTTGTCACTGGCAGGAGGATCTACAATTGTTGACTTTGACATCGTGGTAGCTGCTTGGTTTCTGCATGGTGTGGGAACTGGTCCACCAGCATGATGGCTACCAGCCTTCTTCTCATCCACCCCACCTCCTACAGGAACCTCACTAGGAGAACGTGCTT